AGATTTACAGCCTCTGAAAACCTGTTAGAGAGTCAGCTATGAGGCAGTTCTGACTTCACAGCAGTGACAGAGTGCTAACATGGATAACACTTTCAGGGTAGGTAGACATTGTCCAAAGCAATTTCACTTAATCTTCACATAGGAAACCTATAAAGGAGATATGATGAGTTTCCTATCTTATACAAGAAGAAAGCACTGTATAAAGAAATGGATAACTTTTCTCAAGGTCACATTCCCAGGTATGTGTTGTTGTTGTTGTTGTTGTAGACTATGACACATATTGACTCTATGAATAATGGCTCTGAACCTTGCCCTATCCTGAGCCAACCTAACCATCTCTAACACACTTGACCCCATTGCCACAGTCACTGTGTCAATCTATCTCATCCAGGGTCTCACTCTCCTGTGATGACCTCTATCCTGCCAAGCTTGATGTATCTTCCAAAAACTGATCCTTCCTGGTAATGTGCCCAGAGTATGTGAGACAGAGCTAAAAACTCTTTGCCTCCAAAGAACAACCTGGTTTCACCCTCTTTAACACAGACCTGTTTGTTATCTTGAAAGTCCATGGTATGTTCAACAATCTTCTCCAGCACCACAACTCAAAGACACTAATTATTCTTCTGTCATCCTTATTCATTGTCCAGCACTCAGATACATAGCAAGCAATTGAGAAGACTATAGTCTAGATCAGGTGCACCTTAGTCTCTAGATTGACACCATTTCTCTTTGGCACTCTGGAAAGATCCTTAACAGGATATTTTCTCAATGAAACTCGTCTTGTGATTTCCTGATTGTTGGTGTCAAGAGTACTGATTATAGATCCAAGCAAGATAAAATCATTAACACTTTCAATCCTTTCTCCATTTTTCATGATACTACTTATTGGCTTGGTGGTGAGGATATTTGTTTTCTTGATGTTGAGGTGAAATCCATATTGAAGTCTGAAGTTTCTTACCTTCTGCAGGAGATGCTTCAAGTTCTCAGTTTCAGCAAACAAGGTTGTTGATAGTCTTCCTCCATTCTTTATGCCACATTTCTCTTCCTAAATTCTAGCCTTCTGAATTTTCTGTCCCACATGTGGAAGATATGGAGAATGGATACATTTCTGATGCATTTTTTCCTTGATTTTGAACCATGCAGTGTTCCCATGCTCTGTTTGGACGGTAGCTTCCTGATCTAGGTATAGGTTTCACATGAGCATAATCAGGTGTTGTGGGATTCCCATTCTTCTCAATGTTAGCGGATTTGTAAGTAAGCTAATGATTTTGAAGCATTTCCAGCATGAGGTCACAGTGAGTTGAAATCTACCTGCTAGCATTTTGTAAACATTAGTCAATAGCCAAGTAGATATTAACACCTACTTTAAAGGAATTAAACTACTCCAAGATCAAAAGCCAAATTTCTACTTCTCCTAAATGAATACTCTGTTACTCTGAAAGAAACTATTACCCTAAGAAGTGAATGTAAAATGGTGAGCTGGTTGACATGTTCCCTGCCCTACAAAAACACACGCTGGTTACCAGTAAGTTGATTCCCATGTATGATGATCATGTATGTGACAGAGTACCACTGTGCTCTAGACTCTTTGCAGTGGCTAATTTTCCAAAGTAAATGGTTAGACCTTTCTTCCTCCTAGGTCTTAGTCTAGGAGTTCCACTAGAACTTGTTATGCACCATATTGTTGCTGTTATGTGTGCCATGGAGTTGGAGTCAAGGCAGCAGATACTCCAGCGATTTTTCAGAGGAAGCAGATTGTTTGTTTAGAGATTGTCTATCTATCTATCTATCTATCTATCTATCTATCTATCATCTATCTATCTATCTATCTATCTATCTATCTATCATCTATTATCTCTCTCCTGTGGAGCAGCTGATGAATTTTAACCCTGCATTTCAGGAATTACAGCCCAGGTTCTTACTACTAGGCAACCAGAGCTCCCTAGTAATACATAAGCATCTAATATCTGCATCATAGTTAACACACAAACTGCCATGACAGATAAGTAGTAGCTGAGTTTCAGATGATCTGGCCAGAAATCAAACCTGTGTCTTTTGTATGGAAAGCAAGAACTTTACCTCTGAACCATTGCCCTTAAAAGGCACTTTTTGAGTCCTTTTCTGGAATTCCTTGGTCTGTAGGGATATAACGTGATGATTCTGTTTCCTCTGGATCAATCCATTCAATGTTTTCTTCTCTCTGCCTATAGAAATATCTGAAATTTTCTTCCAATGTGGCTAAGTGTTACTTCAAATCTCTCTGACTTCCTTAGCCAACTTCTTTTAATCCTTCTGACTGCTGGCTTCCAAAAAGCACCTGATTCAGGAGCTACTTTATGACCAGACAGATGACTTTACAGTCCTACAAGGTTAAGCGTGCTACACGTGTTTGGGGAAAATGGAGATGTGCTTTACCAAGAAACATTACTTTTTTTATCTGGGCAGGAGAGCATGCATAATCTCCTTCAGAGCCTGTGAAAGACATCATTTTACACATGAAATTATGTGGAATTTCCTTGTACTGAACTGAACATGGTTTTTGAAAATAACCAGCCTCAGAACAAGATACTATGCCCTGAACCTCCACCAACAAAGAATAAAATGTAAGAAAATATAATTTGTGTAGAGTTACATATAAGGAACACATGATTTGTTGACAGTGTCTGCAAGACAGATCCTGAACATGACAGTGGTGTACCATTAGAAACAGAATCAACATGTGCACCTGGTACACGTGAAAGAAATTCCAAACAGCAAGGTCTCTTTTAGAAGATAATGTATATAGTTTTGTAAAATGATTCAAAATTATTTTCCTGTTTTTCTGTGTATCACACGTTCTTTTCTCAGTCCAGTGTAAAATTTTATGCCTGGAGAGCATAAGACAGCAATTTTTTAAAATCATTATAAGAAACTAATATTTAGACCTGGATATTTAGCTATTCAAGAATTTACCTAATGTGACTTTTTCCTTCCATAAGCATCACATCTGGGCCTGGTTAGTTCTATGAATGCCCAGTCAGGTATGCTGACACATTGGAGGTGAAGGAGGATGTGCAGATAAAAGAACAGAGACCATGCATTTTAACCTGCATAGCCTACCTCCTAAACACCCTGCTTTTTAGCATAATAAATAAATTACATATAAAAAATTTTAAACAAAGGTCTTCTCCTGCACATTCTGAGGAAATTGTTGGCATCTTGTGAAGGGTCATCTTACCCTTGTTATTAAATGACAGCAGTCATTAAAATGCCAAACGTATTTTGGCAGAATTCACTTTATAAAATGTCAGCAAGTCTGTGTTTTTATTAGTTTGTTCCAAATCAATTTAGAAATTTCAATAGAGTGCTTGTAAGTATTCCCCAAGCAATGTCCATTTCTGACTTCCTGCATACAAAAAATATTACAAATTAATCAGATTTTCAGATTTCTGCATAATGGATTTGCACATTTTTCGCTTAATCCTATTATAAAATGCTGTTATGATTGACACATCACTGTGGAGATAGAAGTCAATTGAATAGTATGTAGCAGTCAATTTTATTTGTAGCTTAATGTGCTAAAGTACTTTCTCCACATTTCCATTATTTATGAGTCTGTCCCTTTGGAGACTATATAGAAGAATTTGTTTTAAATGAGCCAATAATACCTTCCTTAAAATTTATAAGTGTGACAGAATCATATCCCTTTGCCCCCTCCTTCTTTGACACCCATGGTATGCCAGTAAACAGGATTTGGATTGTCTTTCACTTACTATTTATAGGACAAGCATTCTGCTTGGAATTGGAGTTCAGGCCACTCGCCACACATTAAGAAACTCAAGAAACAGAAAAGCTCTCAACTAGAAATCCTCAAAAATTGATACTAGTTTTACTTGTTTGCTTGTTCATTTACTTATGCATTTATTGCTCTTTGCTGTACTGCCTGCTACAGTTTGTCCTGCAAGGAAAAGTAAAAAAGCATATGCAGGGAAGTGACAATGTCTAGAATGGCTACTTTGGGAGAGTTTCACTTTTCACACTTTGCCCCCTGATAGAGCACCAGTGAAGGAAGTTGGCTATGTTGTTTGTCTCGCATAGGGAGCCCTCACAATTATTTCATTAAAAAACACATGCCATCAACACAATTCCAATTCATGGTTGGCCTTTGTGTCTCAGCTCAGTATCGGGGTGAGTGGATAACCAGACATTATGGCCATTGTAATTAACATTATGGAACAAAATATACATAAATAATTGGGGGGAAACCTCTATGCTTTACAAAATTTCATTCAAATCACAATAAAAAAAACAAATAATAAACGAACTATGCTTCATAGAATTTTTAGTGACTACATTTTCAGAAGTCGATTCAAGTCCATCCGAGTGAACTCAAACCACCAACATTTGTGCTTGGCCACCAGGGGCACAAATTCCATTTATCTTTTTAAAAACTGAGATTCATATTCTTTTTTAGGGCTTTTTATAAAATGATGCTGGAAAAGGTTTTGTTTCTAGACAAACACATTAATAATAGCCTATGTCTGAGCTCTGTATGGGAAAAGGGCTAATAGATACGAAGAAGATGAGGGAAAGCTTTATTAAGGGATAATATAGATGTGCTCTTGATCATGTCTGATATAACTTTTTTCATTTTTTGAAATCAGATTAGCTATATAAATGCATATACATATATTATGCATAAGAGATGCAGTTTCCCATACATGCAAAGCACTGGTGTCCTCTAAAACTTATATATAATGCAAGCCTATTAGCTCAACTGATGATCTTGTCACTTTCCCTGCTGTCATATCCTCCTACCTCCTGGAAAGACTTTGGCCATTCTGAACCTATATTAGCATAATTTATGCAGCTGATAAGTAATTTGAGCACAGAATCTATTGATAAATCACGTGGTACATTATTTATACTTAAATACGATGTGACATCGCAGGAAACTGGGATCATGGACAGCCCCTAGGTTGGATCTTATATTAAGGGAACACTTCTCTTTTGAATTCCAGGGGCCAGAGGGAATCCGACGCCTTCAGACCCTGGCACCCCAGACCATCACCAGGCCAGCCAGACCCACCCCACATATCCAGTTGGGCCACAGGTCAGTATTTCTCAACTACTTCCTGATCCATTGCATGTAGGATGGTTCAACCATAATAACAACCAAATAAGTAATGAGTGAAAACCAATTAGCTCCAACAGAGAAAAAAAATGATGATAAATTTTTGTATGAGAGGCTGTGTGACTACATTATTTATTAAGAACAATAAAGAAAAATGTGTTTGCAAAACTTTCCTCTCTTTTTAAAGGATATGTTGGTTTTAATCATTTGGAAATATTTTTTCCCCATTAAAATCCTCATAAGTATGCTGCTGGTTTCCATGCAGTTTTCTAGAAAGTAAAACTTTAATGACTGGAGTGTGAAGAAAATTAAGTTATTTCAACTTACTATAGCCATTTTTGAAATACAAGATGTGATTTAATATAAAAAAGTTAATGCAATTTTAATGCAAGTTCAGCTTATTGGGTTTGACAATACTGTACATCACATACAGCTCCTGCATTAATAAAGAAATACATTCATTATTTTTTAAAGTATGATATTTGTTTTTTGTAGCCTGGCGTGAGCTATATGGAGATGTAGAGCACAATTATAAAAAGCTGTGCCTTTGTTCTTTTTTAAAATCTCTATCCTCTGATGTGAACCTTCCAAAGTTCACCTTGTTTTTATTGATAGAGAAATTGAGGCCTGTCTCATTTTGGCTCTAACTTTTACTATATGCTTGCTCATGGAAAAAACCTCAAGTTTGGATCTTGATTTGATCTTCACACTTTTGTTCCAGCTACCACAAAACGTCCCTAAAGACTGCAATCTCAGTTTCTCTTTCTCATGCCTTGTGTCATGGATATAAAGGCTCAAGGAGATGCTTGCTCACTTGTGGAAGGCCTGACCCAAAAGCAGCAGGCTTCTTAGTGTCATGGTCTTCCTAATTTCATACCTACATTGTCTGTGAATGTGTGTTTGTGTGTATACATATGTACATGAATATACTAAGAGTTGTTGTTGTTATGTGCTGTCAAGCATCTATGAGTCTTAACTACCCTAGGAACAATGACTTTGAACCTTACCCTATTCTGTGCCGTCCTCATCATCTCCAACACACTTGAGCCTATTGTTAGTCACTGTGTCAATCCATCTTTTTTGAGTATCTTACTTTCTTATGCTGTCTACATGGCCAAAGCATCTGAGCCAGAGTTTCATTATATTTGCCTCCAAGGAGCACCCTGGCTGTGTTTTATTCAGAACAGAACTATTTGTTCTCTTGGCAGTCTATTCTGGGATATTCAATAC